CACACACACACACACACACACCTGATCCTTAGTCTTGGGCTATATCTGCTGTCACAAGCCCCTGCCCAAATAAATGGCTGCCACCCTAGTCTTGCTCTGCCCCTGAAGAGGTGGGAAGGTGGAGGCCAAGCCTTCACAGATCGCCTGGAGAGGTAGCTATGTGCCACCATGGAGAAATGATCCCTCTGTCCCCCACGAGGATGGCTAGTCCCTCCCTCACCTTCTGGCCCCTGCTGGGTCAGGAGTGGCAGCCACACCCAGCTCAGAGAGGGCTGCTTCTGAGGTCAGTTGTCCTTCAATTAAAGACGCACTGTGCAATACGGCTCCGTGTGCCCCTGCTCCTGGGGCGGCACTGGGGGATCAAGCAGGGAGCAGAGTGGAAGGGGCCACCTCCGGTGGCTCCCAGGAGATGCCTTTGAGTTTTTGCACCTCTTCTTCTTTGTCCCTGCCCTACAAGAGGGTCCCTCAGGTCCTGCACTGGGAAAGGGGGAAGGCCCAGGCACTGGCCATGTCCCCTCTCTTCCAAGCTGTCTCTGGGCTGGCTCCAGAGCAGATTGATCCCAGTGTCACCCGCCCTTCTGGAGTGGAGAATGCACAATCCCTGTGCTGCCGCTCCTGAAGGGACAGGAGGAGCTGCCTCCAGCTCAGGGAAGTGCACTGCTGGCTTCGGGCCCTATGCCCCCAAGGGTCCCTCTGGGTGCCCTGAAAAACCATCTAGCTGAGGGCCAGGGAAGCATGCTCAGCAAGGACACACAGCTGCCCCAGAAAGGGACAGTCCCCACAGCAATGCCACTTGGAGGCAGGCCCAGCAGGCTGTGGTGACCCATGGTCAGGCCTGCAGCTTTCCCTCTGTGTCCACGAGTGGAAGATGCGCCTTCCCTGGTGGCCACAGGCAGCCTTTGGGCCTGCCTCAATGACATTTGAGCCATGCAGAGCCCAGAGGCACTAGTGTGCTTCCTCCCACACAGCCGTGCTTTCATTCCTGGCTTAGCGTGCGGGACGCCCAGCGTCCCCAGGTTTCTCCTTTTTGGCCCAGTGGTAGAATGTCACTCGGCAGCATCATAGCACTATTCTGGGGCATGTGCTCCATGGCCTGGTGACCTCTGCTGAGCTGGGCAGGCACAGGACAAAAGCACTGGCTGGGGACCAGGAGTCAGGGCCTTGGGCAAGTGCCCTCGCTCTCAGGGAGGCGGGGCAGCCAGGGGCAGGCCTGGGAGGCCCGGTTCTCCAGGTGCATCCTCCCCCAAGTCCCTCGCCTTTCTTCCCTGTGCCAGCCTCTTGTTTCAGTTCAGGACACAACAGGGAAGCGGTGCTACGACCACAGGGGCACCCACACTGCCCAGACCGGGGCACAGGGCCGTCCAGGGCAGCACTGGGCCTTGTGGGTCACAGAACACTTGGTTTGGCCCGAAGCGCGAGCATGAGCCCCTTAGTCTCGCTCCATGAAATATGTTGCAAACTATTAGACGACAATGGTACTTTACAGAAAACCCACCCCTGCGAGCCAGCAGCTGCCCACACCAACACCCACACTCACACCCACACTCTCACCCACACTCACACCCACCCACTCACGCTCATACCCACACACCCACACTCACACCCACACTCACACTCATACCCACACTCACACCCACACACTCTCACCCACACTCACACCCACCCTCACACCCACACTCATACCCACACACTCACACCCACATTCACACCCAAACTCACACCCAAACTCATACCCACACTCACACTCACACCCACACTCATACACACACACATTCACACCCACACTAACACTCATACTCGCACACACCCACACACTTATACCCACAAACCCACACTCACACTCACCCACACTCATGCCCACACTCACATCCACACTCACTCATACCCACACACCCACACCCACATTCCCACCCACACATACTCACACCCACCCTCACACCCACACTCATATCCACACACCCACACTCACACTCATACCCACACTCATACCCACACACTCACACCCACATTCATCCACACTCACTTTCATAACCACACACTCACACCCACACTCACACCCACCCTCACACTCACACCCACACCCACACATACCCACACACTCACACCCACCCTCACACCCACACACTCACACCCACACTCACACCCACACTCATACCCACACACTCACACCCACCCTCACACTCACACCTACACCCACACTCATACCCACACACTCACACTCATACCCACACTCATACCCACACACTCACACCCACACTCACTCACACCCGCATTCATCCACACTCACTTTCATAACCACACACTCACACCCACACCCACACTCATACCCACACATTCACACCCACCCTCACACTCACACCCACACCCTCATACCCACACATTCACACCCACCCTCACACCCACACCCACACTCATACCCACACTCATACCCACACAGCCACACTCATACCCACACAATCACACCCACACTTACTCACACCCACATTCATCCACACTCACTTTTATAACCACATCCTCACACTCACACCCCCACTCACATGCACACAGCAGATAAGCGCTCTGAGCCATGCACTGAGGGAAGGTGGAGCCATGGCCCATGTGCCAGCCCGCCTTGGGCTTGAGTAGGAGTTCCCGGGCTTGGGGACAGAGTGGATGTGGAGTGAAAGGAAGGCAGTGGCAGTGGGCAGGCTGGGGACGTGGGCTTCGGCAGAGACTGGCAGGTTGGTGGGGCACCCAGCAGGGCACCAGATAGGGAGCAGAAAGCCATGGAGTGTCCAGCCTGGGGACTGTAGCACAGAGCAGAGGCCAGCTGGGGTGGCCACCAGACCACACACAGCACTCACGCACAAACACACACACACACAAAACACACATGTGCATACAGGCTCCTGCACATACACACATGACCACACACATGCACAGGTTCCCATGAACACACAAATACAGAAACATGCAGCTGCACACTACCACACACACATACACATGGACACACAAATGTGTACACAGACACAAACACAAAGACGTGTACACATTCAGGCAAACACGCACTAACACATACATGTGCATACAAACACATCCACAAACACACATGCATGCAGCCCACAGAAATGCACCAACACACGTGACAGACACAAATACACATGCACACACACAAGTACATGCACAGTACTGTGTCACAGAGAGGCTTGCTTGGGGACAGCTGTTCTGTACACAGAGGACCTGCCAAGGGGCAGCCCTTGAGGAGCCTGGGGGTGGAGAGGGGACATTTCTGAGCACTTGTGCAGGTCAGGTGCCTTCTGGATGTGGCAGGGCCCAGCTGGAGGCTAAGCCAAATCCACTGCTTGGTTTTAGGCAAGCTGGGGCTTGTCAGAGGGCAGTGGGCCAGGCCTAGGCCAGGGTGGGGTGGGTGGCCCCTGAGGGAGCCTGGGGGCCAGGTGGAGGGCAGGCGCCAAGGTCGCAAAGCTGCTCTGGCAACTTGGGGACAGTTTTAATCCATCACTGCCCCTGTGGGTCTAAGGTGTCATCTCAGGAGGGCAAGAGCCAAGGAAAGATGCCTCGCCCCTTCTTTCCAGACCCATGCTAGGGCACCACCAGCAGGGAGACCCCTTGGCTTCTGAGCAAGGCACCTGGGTAAGGAAGGGCACTGGTACCCACTGTACAAAAGACAACCAGAATGCAGTGCCCTAGGGTCTGAGCTGGCCTTCAAGGCGGCAGCCACACCCGCAAGGTGAGTGCTGCATTGTATGTGTGTGTGCACGCATGTGCGTGTACACACCACACACACACACACACACACACACACACACACGTGAACCCCAGAGCCTACAGAGCTTTCCAGAGTCCCAGGGATGGAGTTCTGTTGAGGCTGAGCAGACCAGGAGGCTGAAGGGACCACAGCTTCCAAGGTGGCACTTCTCGATACTGGGGGCCAGAAAGCCAAAGTGGGCTGGGCCACGTTCCCTCTGAACACTGGGGAGAGAATGCTTCACACCTCCAGCTTCGGGTGGCTCTAGGTAGGCCAGCCTCAGCAGTCCCAGGACCTCTCTTCTGAGGGGGGAAAGGGGTGCATGGTCAGGCCAGGAGGGTGAGGGTTGAAGAGCACCAGAGGGGTGCATGCCAGGGGTTCGGAGTCCCCGAGGAGGCAGGTCCAGGGCACCAAGAGGGCAGGTGTGGGAGCACAGGAGAGGAGGAGCAGGGCAGGGTCAGACAGGGGCAGCAGGAATGCCCTGGACTGGCTTCCTGAGTACTTCCAGAGCAGGAGACAGAAGAACCTGCTAGCAAAGCTCTCCCTGCCCACCTCTTCAACCTGAGCGGCCAAGAAGAGCAGTGATGAGAGCCAGCACGGGCACGGGCCTCCTCACTCCCTACCCCAGTCTGGGGGCCGCCTGACAGGACCCACAAAAGGGGGACACTCCCACTCCTGGCCATTCCTGACTCAGGGAGCAGAATTTCCTCAGGAATAGGGACTTCTCCGATTCCTTGTGCTCTGGCTCGTGATCTTGGCTTTGGGGAGACTTATCACCAAGTTGTCATCTGGGCTGGCCTTGGGCAGTGCCCAGCCAGGGAAGAGGCAGAGGGGTGCCAGCAGGTGGGCCCCGCTTACATTTCCTCCCTCACTTCCTTCTTTCCCTACGGGGGAGCGCCTGTGTCATAGCCCTTAGGGAGCAGGCCCAACTTTGAGGGCCAGCTCCGCCACATGGCCGGCAGCCACCAGCTACGTGCACATGCCCTAGAGATGATCAGTATGTCCCCTGGTCCCTGAGAGAAGGCAGTGACAGCCTCAAAGGAGTCTCCTCTCTGCTGTCACAGCCACTCCCAGGCCTCCTAGCCAGTGATAAAGAGCCAGCCCCACAACTTGCCCCAGGTCGTATCTGGTGGCCTCCCTGGAAACACA